ACAGACAAGCTGCTGTCCTTTTGTTCTTCAGTCTAGTTGTGGAGGACATTGCTTCACTGGCCCAAGTTGGCACCATCATTGCGCTCTTCCTGGGTGAAGCAGATCAGTCGCCGGCTTCTGGACAGCCGCTCACTGCGGCTGCAAGTCGCTCACGCTGGCTGCTGGCTACACACGGTAGCCCATGGCAACCCACTGCAGCCTACGCCGTCACCAGCGACTCATGGCAGCCCAGCTCCAGGTTGAGCGGTTATTCAGCATCTTAGCTGTAGAGGGCAGTGTCACTGGCCCTCATCTATGGGATCCGAACTGGGGCCCTCTGGCGTCCCAAGCCTGCTCTTAACCAATGCGCCACTCGGCCAGCCCTGTTCTTTGTTTTTAGTTTTTCTGTTTTCTTTGTCCTGCTTTCCTGTGGGTGACTTGAACATTTTTTCAAATTCCATTTTGGTTTGGAATTTGATAGAATATCTATGTCTTTTGGCACATCTCTCTGTACAGCTTTTTGTGTTTTCTCTCAGTATTACATTATATATACATAATTTATCACAGTCTTCTGATGTCATTTTACCAGTTCAAGTGCAATATAGAAACTTTACCTACCTTTTACAACCCTTTACACTCCCATTTATTATATAAATGTCTTAAATATTTCCTTTACATATATTGAGAACATTAGACTGTGATAAATTTTGATCCAATTATCAAACATAATTCAGACAACTCAAGAGGAAAAGAAATTCTGTTGTATTTACCCATGTTTTTGCTTACTGTGCTTTGTTTCAAGGTTCTCTCTCTTACTGTCTTTTCTGTTTTAAGAACTACTTTAGTCATTCTTATAAGGTAGACCTCCTACTAATAAATTCCGTTTCCTTTCGTCTAAGAATGCCTTGATTATCTCTTTATTCCTGAAAGATTATCATTGGACATAGGATTCTGGGTTGATGATTTTTGTTCTTCAGCACTTGAAAAATGTGTCATCACTTCTCACAAGTATTTCCTCAGTTTCTGGTGAGAAATCTAATGTCATTCTTTCCCCTCCCCCCCTCTGAAAGTATACCGGTAGGTAAAGTGTTGTTTCTCTTTGGCTGTTTTCTAGATCTTTTCTTTGCCTTTTGCTTTCAGAAAGTTGACTATGATGTGTCTTGGTGTAAACTTTTTTGGGTTTATTCTGATGGTATTTGCTTAGCTTCTTTAATCTAGAGGTTTATGTTCTTTGCTCAATTTGGGAAGTTTTTACCCATCATTTCTTCAATGTAAATACTGCCACAGGTCTAGAGGTTCTGCTCATGCTTTCATTCTCCTCTCTCTCTGTCTGTCTCCGTCTCTCTCCCTCTTCCCCTCCTCCTTTCCCTCTCCCTCTCCCTCTCTCTCTCTCTGTCTCTGTCTCCGTCTCCCTCCCTCTTCCCCTCCTCCTTTCTTTCTCTCTCTCTCTCTCTCTCTCTCTCTCTCTCTCTCTCTTTTGAATCTAGTATCTAATTTCCCTCTGCTGTTTAGATTGGGTGATTTCTATTGTTTTATGTTTAAGTTATCTGATTCTTTCCTCTGTCTCCTCCACCTTGCTGCTGAGCAAGACTTTAGAGTTTTTAGAGGTCTCTTTCGGCTACTATATTTTTTCAGTTCTCAAATTTCCATATGGTCCTTCTTTATGTTTTATACAGAGGATGTCAAAAAAATGTATACATATTTTAAGAAAGGGAAAAAAACTTAAAATTGTAATACTCAGTATATATCGATAAGCAAAGATGAATACAAGTCATGTGTATTCATTTTTTTGGCACCCCGGGTATATCTTTGTTGAGATTTTCTATTTATATGCTATTTTCTATTTTATAATTTGTTTCAAGTGTGTTACAATTGCTCATTGAAGCATTTTAGTGATGGCTGCTTTAAAATCCTGGTCAGGTAATTCTAATGCATGTGTCATCTAGATGCTGGCATCTTTTGTCATTTAAATTTATAATCTTGGCATGGTAAGTAATCTTTTTTGATTAAATTTGAACACTCTGGACCTCTTTTAAATCTTTTTGTTTTTGCAGGCCTGTTCTTAAATTCTCCTTTTGCTGGGAAAGGGAGTCTAGGGTCTCTGATTGACATCCAGGTTTGGGAGGGGTTTTTTGTTACTGCTGGTTGGGGGTGGGGGTTCAGTCCTCTCTCTAGGCCTCTGATGATCCCATCCCAGCTAGTAGTGGTAGGAATGCCTGGTTTACCACTGGGGAGAGTAGAAGGCATAAGCCCCATTTAGTCTCCAATGGGAGGGATCACTTTTCCTTGCTCCTAACTGTTCCTTTTCTTGGGGTTGGGCAGGGGCTCCTTTAAAGCCCAGTTAGAGTAGAAGTTTAGGCTCTCCACTTGCACACCTAAGCTTCATATTAGACGCATTGTTATTATAACAGCTGGCCTTTTCCTGCACCAAGGTATCTCACTCATTATCTCCTGATACTTTTGCAGAAAAAAAAATTGAAACATGCCCCCTCTCAGACAGACCCTCCATGGGATAAAGTGGGAAGACCAGAGCCTCTCCATGCAGACTGACTGGGTTGCTGTCAAAATCTGACATATTCAAGCTGTTTGGCTCTGGAAAGGTTACTTAAATTTTCCGAGCATCTATTTTCCCACTTGTAAAGGAGGTGTAGGAAGCTCTCAGGACTCTTGCTGAAATGAGAGATAGTAGGTCAAAGGGCGTGGCACACCAAGGGTTCAATAAATAATAGTTCCCTTCCTTTTATTCGTTTGCAAAAGTAAAGATGCAGCCCCTCCAAAGGACAGAAAAAAATCAAGGGGCTTCCCCACCACCATAATTTGTCAGTCTTATCCTAGTTATTCACTCCAAGGGTTAATTTAAATCTCTTGATCAAAGTCTTATTTCTTAAGTTGACACACTTGATAATCCTCCCTCTTTTTTTCCAGGTTCCTAGAAAACAGTCAAGGGAGACAGCCCGAACCATACCATCCTCAAAATGAGGGTAGAAGCTGGGGCGAGGGGAGAAGGGGTGCTCGGAAGAGGAGGGCAGGTGACGGAAGGCCTGGTGCCGGCCCAGGCAATCCGCTTGCCCGGCACTATTGTGTTCTGAGCAACGACAACATCATCGCCTAGCCAAAGCCGCTCCCAGAGCAAAGGAGGGGTCGGGGGCCGCAGGCAACACCCTCTGTGCCTGCCTGCCCTTCACCTCTGGCGCCTCAGAGCAGCAGCTGCGGTCCCACAGTCTGATGCAGCGGACCTCCTCCCGTTTCCACCGCTCCCATCCCCCTTCCCGGATAGGAGAGGAAGAAACTAGTGAATGAGTGATAGCAAGAAATACACACGCGCGAGCGGTCGCAGTCCTCCCAATCCCTGCCTGCTGGGATTCCTCTGCACCCCCACCCCCCCACCCCCGCAGTCCCTAGAAGACACCACCAGCCCCAACGCGCTAGACTCTGCTCTCAAAAGGCTCACCCGAGCTCCAGGTCCTGAAGTTGAATGGGAGACTGAAAAAAATTTCTACTCCTTAAACAGCAAGGAGCCAAATACACCTTGGGGCCAACAAATACTGAAAAAAATAATGGGTCCAAGAATGCCGTCCCCCAACTCCCATCCCAAGAAGAATAAAGCTGTCTTGGGATCAATATCCCCCCCACACCCTACCCCCGCCCTCCTTCTCCACCCTCCCACCCCGCCGTGTGTCTCCATCTGGCTTTCCCAGACACATCTGGCGAGGTCTTTCTCCATCAGTCTGTCTCTCCACTAGTCCCAGTTTCGACTCCTCCCAGCCTCCTTACCATCCTTGAAATCCATGGTATATGGGCTCCTTTCACCCCCCTCCGCAAGTCGTCCAACAATAGATACTTTCCAAGGTAACTCAGCCCTCTCCCTTAATGAGGGATTTTGGGGGGCTTCGAGGGGATCTGGGAAGCGCTGTAACGTTCCACTTACCTGATCTCTTTAATGCTTTCCAATTTGCACATTATTTCTTGCTCATCTGCCATGCTCTTCAGTCTCAATTTCACGTCCCGAGAAATGTACAAACACACAAGTCCAGGGATTACAATAGACACAATGTAGCCACGTCCTCCAGGCATGGGGCTCTGAGTCTGTGCGGTAGGGACTCGGAGAAGGCCTGGGAGCTGTAGTCCGCAGTTACAGGGCCAGCCAGGCAGCTCGGGCGCCCGAAGGACTACAAATCCCAGAAGGCAAAGCGAGATATGCCTGTTTTTCTTCCTGCAGCCGCACTTTAAATCAGTTTGTCACAAATAATTATGTCAAAGGTTGCGAGGAGTACAAGGGAATGGTGATATTCCTCTGTCCCGTTCGCGTAAGAAATGGGGGTAAAAAAACCGCAGGAGGCAACTGGAAAGACGAGAGACAGACACCCCTCACCGGGCCCTCAAGCCTACTCACCCCCAAAAGGTTACCAGGAGTTGCTAAAGAGTGGATACTTTGGAGCTGGAGAGAAACACCCTTCTGGGGAATTCGCTTTGAGATGTTGAGTGTTTAGGCTGGCTGCTGCCTAGGAACTAATGGCTTTGGCATTCAGATGGAGATGGCTGGGGGTGGAGTAAAGGCGGGCGGGAGCACGGAGCAGCTGCTAAAGCTGGGGGTTGGAGGGGTGACTTCATTCCTTCAGGCCCTTTATGCATTCGAAAAACAGTTGCTGAGCTCAGACTTTGCCAGTCAATGAAGGAGTTACTGGGGGAGGCGAAGATAAATAAAAGCAAGTCCTTGCCTTTGAATAGCAGGAGACACTGAAGGGTAACCCATTAATTAGAGTTCAGTGCTGCCGAAATAAAAGAATGGCAAGGGAAAAGTCAGGGAGAAAAAGCATCCTGAAGGAAGAGTCCTGAGGGAACTAGCCAGGAAAGAAGAGAAGGAGCAGGAGGCATCAAGGATTCATTCGTGCAATCAGCCATCAGATCTCCTTGGCATCTATTACATGCCAGACACTTTAGGTACTGAAGATACAAGGCTTTGCATGGATTAAGTCAGTTTAATCCTTGCAATGACCTTATGAATGAAGTATTACTATTCCCATTTTACAGAAGAGGAAGCTGAGACAAAGAGAAGTTAAGTCGCTTTCCCAGAGCAGCTCAACTAATAAGTGGCAGAACTGGGATTTGAATTTAGACAGCCTGGCTCTGGAAAACATGCTGTTAACCTCTGTGTTCTCTTTCTTCCCTAAGATCCCCATCCTCATGGATTTTACATTCTAGTGAGAGGAGCCAGACAATAATCACAGAAAACAAGGAAAACAAATATGATAGTTCTAGGTAGATATAAGGCCAATAAACCAACTAAATGAGGACAATGGAATAGAGTGGTAGCAGAAGGGAGAATGTTGTAGATAAGATGGTCAGGGAAGGATTCTATTCAGAGACGAGACGACACTGGAGTAGAGGCCTGAGGAGGAGTCGGCCAAGGAATGATCTGGAGAAAAGAGAATGCCAGGCAGAAGGAATAGCCAGTGCAATGATTCTGAGGCAGGAACATGCTTGGCCTATGAAAGAAAGACGGCAGGGCTCTTGTTGACTGAGGGGAGCAGTAGTAGATTGGGGAGGTAGGCAGAGACAGCAGTGTCTTGTAAACCATAGTGAGGAGTTCGGATTTTATTCTAATTACAATACACAGCCATTGATGGTTTTAAGTAGGGGAGTAACATTATTGAGTTTTTAAAGACCACTCGGACTGTTACGAGGAGAATAGATTGTACTGGAGCAAGAATGGAAGCAGGAAAACCAGCGAGGCAGCTATTGCAGTTACCCAGGAAATAGATGATGGTGGCTTGGATCGTAGTACTAACAGTGGATATGAAGAAAAATAGACTGATTGGAAACAGTATTGGATCCAGAACCGATACGATTAGTGTTAAGACAGAAGGATTGTAATGGTGGCACTATTTCTCTTCTATTTTGAGATTTGGATCTCTGGTATAATTTGATTTAACAAGTGAAATTTAGCTTGGGAATTTTTGAAAGCTTTTCTTTCTCCGCTTTCTTTCCGTCAGGGCTTAATGATTCTGCTTGCTGTACATTTACTATGCATACCAGTTTCAATGTTTCTATTTGCTTGGGCCCTGTGGCTTGGGAGAGGTTTTGCATCTGTATGGGATCCACACTCCTAGCTCCCTCCAACTTAAATCTACATAACATACGCAAAGGTTGCAATAGCCGGCTTAACTGCACCTTCCCCCACCCTAAAGGTCAAAGCCGAACTCAACAGAAAATTCCACTACAGGCCAAAGCAATTTACATCCTGGTTAAACAATATAAAACTTGAGACCAAACAAAGACTCGACGCAACAGTTTGCAGTAGTTTCCAGCAGACTCTGCCCAGCCGACCCTCCTCTTACTTTAATAAATCTTCCTTTTATATTTCTACCTGCCTCATGAATTCAACCATATAAAGATTGAAACTGTACCATGAAAAGTGACACTCATAAAATAAAAAGGAAAACAGACTGGGAAAATATAAATAACGCCTATGTCTTGGGTTTACCTTACTCAGCAATTGGATGTATTGTAAAGCGTGAATCAAATCTTGAGTCAAAGGAATGAATCTCAATGAATGAAATATCAGGCATCAGCAATAGACTGGAAGATTCGTGGAAAGGCAAATGTCCCTTCCACGAACCCTCCAAATCTCATTGCACAGACCCCATATGATCACCCAGTTTGACTGCCCCTGATATCCCTTCTTTCCCCAGCACAGTTGGCAGTATGCAGAGTGGTAAGGCACCCAGACTGCAATCAGGTTTCCCGGGTTACTGGCTGGGCTCTAATATTTTTAGCTATTTAACCCACGTACAAATCACATCCCTTCTCTAAGTTTTAGTGTTTTCATCTGCAAAATGGGGATGATATTAACTATTACTAACACTAGAGTTGCAATGAGAATTAAATTAATGTTTGGAAGTGGCTTAAAAGCAGTTTTAGTTGCTGGCATAGTAAGCATGATAGAAATATTTGTTATCATTATTAAATTAGATATTCTTCAATAAAAATATCTACCTTAATAATAATAGCAAAACAAAACCCCCTTGTTTTCTACCATTGGCAGCCTAACTATTCCACCAGGCAGGTTCCCATTATGCTCTAAATCTTAAGGATTGATAGGAAGCAGATCTATCTGCCTAGGAATGGAAATATCAAATAATTGCATCATTGGTATGGTCACCAATTTGTCATAAAATTGAGGATACAAAAATTTAAACCTCTGACACCATTTAAAAATATGAAAATTAGGGCCGGCAGAGTGGCTCAGTTGGTTAAGAGCTCGCTCAAGAATGTGAGCTCTGAGCAACAGCAGTTTGATTCCCGAGCTGCTGCTGCCGCTGAACTGCCAACAAGTGGCAGGATGGCTCAGCTAAAAAAATAAAATAAATAAATAAATAAATAAATAGAAATAGGAAAATTATATCCCTAGTTTGACAAAATGGCCATAAATGTTCACATTGATTGCATGATCTACTATTCATACTAATCAAATAATGTCAGATAGATTCTACATATACCATACGAGTACATAAAACATATGTCAACTATTTAAAAAATCAGATAAAAAATTAATATGTCAGCTCTATTTAACACTATTCAAACATTTAATTAAAATGATTTTGCCTTCTTAAAATTTACATAAGCTGGCATACAAATTGGGAATGAAGAAGTCAAATTGTCACTTTCTTCAGAAAACATGATTCTTTTTTTTTAAAGATTTTATTGAGGAATTGGGGGAGGGAACAGCGTTGGGAAATCGGGGAAGCGGAACAGACAAGTTGCTGTCCTTTTGTTCTTCAGTCTAGTTGTGGAGGACGNGGGGGGAGGGGACTGGATTGGGGCAAGGAGAGACAAAGTCTTAAGAGTTGGCCAATTTGAGTTGTGTCTGTAGATCAAAGTAGAGAAGCCCAGTAGGCTGTGGGATTATTGGGCTGAAGGTTCGAAATTAGGGGGTAGAAGCTGGGGATCTGGGGGATAATATCTGAAGCCATGGGAATATAGGAAGTCACACAGAAAAAAAAATGTGTAGAGAGAAAAAGAGCACCTGGGGCAGAAACTTACACTTAAGAGCCTTTACTTAATACCACAATATTTACTTCCGAAATGAATTTTATCTGTCTTAAGTGCGGGAAACTCAGTGTATGGCTATGTGCGCATCAGGGCATGGGTGCGTGCAACGTGTGGCATGTTCATGTTAAGGAGATACTATGCATTTGGGAAGCCAGTGAAGGGCTCCGGTTCATCTACTGGTGACTGAATTTACTTTCTCTGCCTCACGGCTTCTTCTCCCTTTCTTCCCTCTTTTCCGTCTCCTTTTGTTGTTCCCTTCTTCTCTTACCCTTTCCACCTATCCACATGCTCCTTCATCACCACTTGAAACCTTAAAGAATGGATGAGCAAAACAGAGCAGTCTGGAGCAGTGTTGGGGTGTGGTTGGGATTGGGAGGAAAGACAAGGCTGGGCACGTGGTCAGAGTCAGAAGTAGGCAATGGCCTGTGGTGGCAGAATCCATTCCTGAGACATTTCCCATTTCAAATCCTGCCACTGGAGTGTGTGAGCACTGAACGTGTCTATTTCCGGGCCTGTGCCTGGGGATGTGTTTGGCTCTGTTTGACTTAATCGGGTCTTTAGGTGATATTGCCATCATCCCTGCTACTTCAGCCCAGAAATAACATTATTTTTTTAAACAGAAATAGGTGGCTCCTTTTAAGGGATTTAGGAATAGAGCAATTGAAAAAGTGTGAATGATGGTTAATCAGATTATCAGCAATTGTTGAAATGCATACGCCATGTGAATAGAATATATTCTTTCCTAGATGGGTTACCATAGATAAGTTACTAACTTCTCTGAGCCTCACTATCCTTATCTGTAAAATGGGGATAATTCCTACCACAGATTTCCATTAGGAAGATTCAGTATTAAATGAGCCAAGAGCTTTTAAATTAGTAGCTATCCAACAAATGTTAGTTCCTTTCTCCAGTTCCTTCTGCCCCTCCTTTACTTCTTCCTTCTCACCACCTTTCATACATGTATACCTAGCCATATGTGAAGATCAAGTTTTCCCCATTTTAAATTCTTAAACTAAGTGATATAGGGGCCGGCCGAGTGGCTCAGTTGGTTAAAAGCTCGCTCAAGAGTCTGAGCTCTGAGCAACAGCGGTTCGAGTCCAGCCCGAGCTGAGCAGCCGTTAAGCTGCCAACAGGTAGCAGGATGGCTCAGCTAAAAAAATAAAAATAAATAAATAAAATTAAACTAAGTGATATAACCTTTGTACAGAACTGTGAAATCGTTAAAAGCAGGGTAATTGAAATCACTTCTCGTGCATACACATCTACCACTCTTATGTCTTCTTGGTGGACTGACCCTTTCTCATTATGTAATGTCCCACTCTGTCCCTGGGCATGTTCTTTGCTCTGAAATCTGCTTTATCTGATATTAATATATCTGCTCCTGCTTTTTTT